AGGCAAAGGCGGTCGTAGGAAAACTCGTTCTGCAGCTTTTTCCCAAGGTTTTCCTGGTGACCCAGCGCAGCCCCCGACGGACGGGGCCCAAACGTTTGGCCCCGTTTTTGGTCACGGGGAATTAGGACTTGAGCAGAGCAGCGATGTGCGGGCTGAGTGCGTTTCTCAAAGAAGGCCAAAACGGACTCGCCCTAAATGGGTGGTTTGGTGCCAGCTTTGGCAGGGTGGCCTCCGGGCCGGTCGAGGGTCCCGGGATCTCTGTGTCCCCTGAGGTCGGAAAGGCCAGAGCCGGCTCTGCCCCTCTTCCTTCTGCAGACAAGCCAGGCCTGCTCAGCGTGCACTTTGGTGCCTGGAGGGGATCAGAGGGAATTTGGGGGACTTTTCCATGGTTTTTATTTTGTTTTCCCTGGCAGGGTAGCAAGCAGGGAATCACCTGGCAACCGAAGGCCAAAGACCGGAGTGTGGAGATTGCGAGTGAGTCGAGAAGGTCCCGCGAACTGCCCTGGGGGAGGAGGGGGTTGGGGGGCACCAAGCTCAGCAACCAGCAAAGGCTGAGCAGGGGGCCCAGAGAGGAGGATGGAGTAGGAAAGGGCTGGGAGGGGAGATTTTAGGGGTAAATGCTTGGGGGGGGGGGCAAAATGCAGTCCCCAGCCTTCCTTTTGGTAGTTCTCTGAACTGACCTTGATCACAAGGGCTGAAAACTGACCGCAGTTGCCCATCATCTTGGGGGGGGGCATTGCATCTACACTGTAATGTCAGCCTAAAATGGGCATGCTCCTTTGCAAAACTAAAGACCCCCCCAAAAAAACTTCCCTTCCCTTTCACCTGCCAAAAGGTTGCCCTCCCCCCATTCATTCTGGGGGTGCCCCATAACCCCTCAGTCCCCAGCATCTCAACTCCCAAAGGGAGCCAGAAGAGCAGACCCCCCAGCCCAGACCCACAGAAGGCGCTGGCTCGCCTCATGTTCTCTGCCACTTAAAGGGCCCCCGTCCAGCCCCAGCACGAGGTCAGATTGTGGGGCAGAACGTAGTCTTGTCTTCACCAGCCCTGGCACAGCAGGAGGGTAACTTGGCGCTCCTGTTCCCTGCCAGTCCCCGATATCCTGGACTCTGCAGAGAAGCCAGACGCCAAGCAGGAGCCCCACTGGAAGGGCCAGATTCACGGCAGCAGGCGGGCCCCTTCGTCCCCCACAGCCATGCTGCTGTCTGTGTCCGACATCTGAAGGCCATCCTGAAGGTCGCACCTTTGAAATTTGATCCAGTTTAATGTAATTTAATTTAATTTGTCATGGGAATCTGGGCTCAATCAATGCGCTGCTTTTCTGCCTCCGCTGTGGCTTCTTTGTCTGGTCTGTCCATTTGCGGGGGGGGGGGGGGGGGGGGGGGG